CTGTCTGTACTGGGCTATCTTGATTATCACTTCAAAAGTTTTTTTTCTCTTACTTAATTGGCCTCTCAGAGTTGGTAAGACAACTCCCACCTGTTCATGCTCTCTGTATGTGTGTATATATATCTCCTCAATATATGTTTCACTCTATATGCATCCGAAGAAGTGGGTTGTAGCCCACGAAAGCTTATGCTCTAATAAATTTGTTAGTCTCTAAGGTGCCACAAGTACTCCTGTTCTTTTTGCGGATACAGACTAACACGGCTGCTACTCTGAAACATGACCTCGTATGTGCATTGTGCTTGGAGGCAATTCCAAGGAATGCTGTCCAAGGTTCCAGCTTTATATTATACAGAGTATGCACAAGTATGCACCAGCAAGCACTCTCCCAGTACGTCATCCGCTGGAAGAAAAACACCTGCCCAAAGTTTTCACTCACCAACAAGCTGTAAATAAGGATCTTTTGAGTGGTGAGAAATTGTCTTTAGACACTGATGAAACCACAGAGCTTTTGGGATGGCCAGCAATGAACGTCCTTGCAGTATACTTCAGTGACAAAAACATGCAATGTGGAGGTAATTTCAATTAGGATTCAAGATGTGTTGCAAGACTACAGCCAAATGTGGGAAATCTGTATGTCACTCAACAGTGACTCCCCAATGTACATCCAGCTCTCAGTAAAGGACTTGAAAGAAATGTATCCTTATCTGCTGCACATTCCATGTATTGCTCATCTTTTGCATACAGCCATTAAGCATGCAATCTAAACTGATTTGTTCCAAAATGTCAACAAATCTATAGTACATTTTCCAGCAATATTTAAACATGCTAACAGGCAAAGGCAAGTGGTTTTTTAAAGTCTGTACAAGCAACAGCATGAGACCATCAGGTTTGCCTGTTTCCCCTCATGTTGTACCATCATGCTGGTTTGCCTGGCTTGAGGGAGCAAAATGTATTTATATACATTGGGACAGTGTGACAAACTCATTAAAGAAGAAGATGCAATCATTGCAAAGAAGGCAATGAAACTATGCTGGATGGTTGAAGATGATGGAAACCAGCAAGAACTGTATTGCAAATTCTTTTTTCTTTACGTATTTTTGGGAAAAAGCCACAGGGTTCATTTGCAAATGGAAACAAATGTACCCTGGTTACATCACATTGATACCCTGCTTTACGGCAATTTCAAAGTTGCTGCTGTTGTATGTAATGCCTTAAAAGAAGTGAACTTTAAGTCAATGAGACCCAAAAGGAGATTCTTTTAATCTGCAATGCATGCTTTTGCATCAGAATTTCAAAATAAACTGAAGGCAACCAGATCCTGCCACCTACCAGATGGACTCTCTGGATTAAGATCTCTTCTTGCCAACTGTAAAGTGTTTGATCCATTTGTCAAGGCTGAGATATCATACAATTTTAGCAACTACAAAAATATTATGTATATTTTCCATTGCACGGCAGAAGAGTTCAACCACAATTTTGACTTGTACATGGCACGTGAAGTGCCCTGGGATGACAGCATAACAGCAATAGAATACCGAAGAAGTGAAACCCAGTCCCTGCCTGTCATGCCCAGCGTGGCATTACATGCACTAGCAGCATCAGTAACTTAAGTGTCCATGGTAAGATCGTCCAGTCTGTTCAGAAAAGTTCAAAATAAACACTTCCATGAACCTCTCTGAAGACCAACTTGGACAGCTCAATGTTTTTTTACTACAATGATGACATGAGTTGAAATTTGTAAAGCTTTCAAAATCTGATATCATCTGCTGACTCTAGCAAAAGACATAATAGGCATTCTAGTGCCTTTAACAAATGGCCCATACTTATTTATTTTTTGTTCAAACCACCTAAAGGTGGGAACAGAAGACTATGGGCAAAGTTCTGTGATTTAGACTTCTGAATTAGTCTTGTTACAAAAATAAAGCTTTAACTCTTTGAATCTCAACATCTACTGTCATTAAATAATATCTGACTCTCTGTTAATTTCCCACAGCTGTGAAAATTCAAATAGATAATAGAAAAAATGCTTTAAAATGGGTATAATCTATCAAAATTCAGAAAAAAAAATAAAAATTGAATTCTACCAAGCCTACTCATGAATGAACTTACAATCTCTGTCCTGCTTCCCTGTCCTAGGTCCAGTTTCTTTTCTCTACCGAAACTACAGAACCTGTGGAAGTTAGTGGAGTACTACAAGTGAAGTACCTTTTGTACACAGCCCCATTTATTTCTGCTGCTCAAATCATTGTGAGTTGGTAGACCAAAAATGTTTGGAGTATATAACAGGGCCTGTCAATTATACAAAAGAAGCCATCACAGAGTTAGGAATGAAGGATTCTCCCATCTCTGGTTGCTGGACAGGGGCAATATGTCCCTCTGATCCATCATCGCTGTTTGTTTATGGGGAGAGTGCACGTGCACAAAAGGAGAAGGAAAATCTTCATCCCAATAGGACCAGTCTCTTAGTTCTGTCTGAATGTGGAGATTCATAGATTCATAGATTCTAGGACTGGAAGGGACCTCGAGAGGTCATCGAGTCCAGTCCCCTGCCCGCATGGCAGGACCAAATACTGTCTAGACCATCCCTGATAGACATTTATCTAACCTACTCTTAAATATCTCCAGAGATGGAGATTCCACAACCTCCCTAGGCAATTTATTCCAGTGTTTAACCACCCTGAATGTTGCTGTCTGGCTGTATGACCCCTTGTAACATTTCTAGGGAATAACCATCTGCTTGAGATAGGACCTAAAGAGCCACACTGAGTATGCCTCAGCCATCCCCTTTGCTTTTGATGGGGTTATTCCTTATTTACACTGATGTGAAAGGAATCAGGCCCTGAGGCTCCACCCCAGAGATGAGGGCAGGTTGCGAGAGGGAATTTCATAAGGCGGCACTCAGCATTACGTAGCTATTTCCCAAGAGAAGTGCCTCTTCTGAACATGGCAGAGATGCTGCAATTACAAAGGCTGGGAAACTTATGAAAGGCCAGCAGCAATGGAGGCAAATTTTGGGTTTGTTATACCAAACGAATAAAAGGATTGTCCTGGATTATATAAGGCTGTCACACTCCAACTGGGATCCCAGCTGCACTCAAATTAATTATACTTAACACTCTAGTCAAAAACAGGCTTACAGCAGTCAAAACAATGAATAAAAACTATTCTTTCAAAATAAAAAGGGTGCAGTGCTGTTTATCACTGTGCATAACATAGCAGAGCTTTATTATACTCAGATATTTAGACATGTGCCTTATGCACCTCCTATCTTGGTATTTCTTCTACTTGCAAAACAAAACTGAAATTAGATAAAACTGAAAGCAGATTCTTGCACAGTTCATAACCTGAATATTGGAAATGGAACATAAATCCCAAATCTTCCTGTGTAAAGTGTACATAAATTCAATTCTAAAGGAGTCCCAGTCTTCTGACTGGAGAGAATGGAAAGGTCTATCACTGGGGATGGGGGCAAGATGTGGGAAGCAAGGAGCACATCAGGTTTTAAGTGCAAGAGGAAAGTCTAGTGAAGTCTAGTGTTAAACATCTTTTATTAGTTTGTTACTTTACCTATCATGGATTTTTAGAAAAACTTGCATATAGTATTTGCAAGACAGATTAATAGCGTGACAATCTGATGTCGGACACTACAAAGCTTTATGAAATTTGGCAGTAAAAGTTACTTTACAATAGCCAACTTGTTTTTAAAAATCCAATTTAACCTAAAAAGTCAAATGCTATTACGAACTATCTACACTGCAAGTGCATTTTAAAATAGTTTAATTAATTTATTTGAAAAATTGAAAGATATTTTTTAATTTGCAGTCTAGGCTAAAACCTTGCATTCCACCCACAATGAGTTTTTAAAGCAGATTTATAATCCTTTGAGAATAGTGGTTTACAAAGAAATTGTTCAGTAGTTCAGTCACAAAACAACACAGTAGCACATCTCCAGAAGAAAATCTGTAATTAAAAATATATATTTAAAAAAGACCTACTTATTCAAATGTTACAAAAAATAGTTTATTGAAACTGGTTTCAAAAGGTGTCTTGCCTGTACAAAAAAACAAACATAATGGATTTCATGGAACAAATGTCAAATGATAATGACTTCATTTCATTCAACCACTCTTGGCTGAGGAAAGGCACATGTATGAACCAGCTGCTGAAAGTTACTTACCCTTTACTAGCTGCTCATAGAATTGGGGCTCAATGGCACCAACTGCCATGAATTTCCCATCTAGGGTCTTGTAGGTCTCATAAAAAGGTGCTCCGCTGTCCAGCAAGTTCTCCCCCCGAAGTCTATTCCAAAGGCCTAAATTTTGTGATTTCCACAGGAAAGAACTTAGATATGCTGCTCCTTCTACCTTAAAGATTTATTTAAAAACAAAACAAAAAACAAAAAAAAATTTAGAGTTACTAGTGAAATCGCTGGCAATTCCACACAAACAAGTATTCATAAATTTACAATTAAGGTTAGGATTTTGAATTGTAATATTCTCATAAGAGCAATCTTGCCTTTAAAATAATGTGTGTGATTTTTTTAAGTTTAAATGGAGTAATAAGGAGCCCTGAAAGATAATAAGACATATTAATATACTGAACAGATGAAGTTTCTTATTTTATCAAGCTCCTAGTGGTTCAAATAGCAAAGAAATGAGTTGTAAGGTAACAGGCCAAGCTCAGTGGCTCTACAGGACAGTGAGTGCCTCAGCACTTAACTGGCTGAGATAAAACACCTCTCTCTAGTTCTCAGTACCCAGAAAACTGAGATGCACATAGAGATCACTGTGTTAACCTGACTATTCTCCCACAGCTCTCTCTAATCTGTGGAGCTCCCTGTTGTCACCGGCGAGCACACTTTAGGAACCCTACAGGGTAGCAGAGATGGTGAGGGTGTTGACATATGGGTGTAGAGCTCCGAGCACTGGTTACAGGAAACCAAAAGGTATGTTTGGCTTTGAGCATATTAAACTTATGTAAGAGGTATCCTAAAAGAAATGGAAAGGTATCAAGGGAATTGTTAGGAGTATGCCCTGTACCTTTAAGAGCAGAACACATGATAGAGGAACTGGGATAGAGAAAACCCAAGCAGTCTGAAATCAGGTTCAACAGGTATGTAGCTAGGAGCACATGGGTCTCCTCTGTCTTACGTAATTCTGTTTTAGTTCTAGTAAAGCCTTACTTCTAAGAGTCTAGACTATACCTTCTTCTTACGAATCCACAAACAACACATGGTATCAGAGTGAGGTAGAAGAAAGGACAAAGAAGAGAGGACTGTGGTGAAGGAGTCACCTCGGAGATAAACAAACTAAAAATCCCCAAAGAATTGAAACTCTCAGGTAATGCAGCAGACTCCTGGTTGAGATTCAAACAGAGATTATATATATGCATGCATGCAAGCAAGCAGCTAGCTTTGGTGGGAAAGAAAACCAGCAGAAAATAGCAATCTTCTTAAACACTGCAGGACCTGAGGCACAGGAGTTGAAGGCGTGCATTAGATCAGGCCAAGAGAGTGAGTTATGGCCCAACTGTGCAGAAATTTGAAGAATATTGCATACCTAAAAAGAGTAAACATTTGAAAGGTACATGTTTTATGTCAGAAGACAAAAGGAAGGAGAATTTGAAGAATTTCTAACAGAGCGGAAGCTAATGAGCCAAACTTGCAACTGTGGATTAACAGATTCAGTTATAAGTAAGGCTGCGAGTTTGTCACGGAGGTCACAGATTCTGTGACTTTCGGTGACCTCTGTGACTTCTGCACAGCCAGTGAGCATGGCCCTGCGCCAGTCGCACCAGCCGCTGCTGGGGCAGTCTCAGGCCACCGCCCCTCTACCCCCAGCACCAGAGTTTGGGTGATGGAGGGGGCAGGAGCAGGGGCACAGAACGGGGTGAAGCGAGCTCTGGGTGGCGCTTACCTGTGGGGCTCCCTGGAAGCGGCGACATCCCCCTTGCTCAGCTCCTAGGTGGAGGCATGACCAGGCAGCGCTGCGTGCTGCCTCTGCCTGCAGGCACCACCCCCGCAGCTCCCATTGGCTGCAGTTCCTGGCCAATGGGAGCTGCGAAGCTGGCACTCTGGGCGGAGGCAGCATGCAGAGTGGCCTGGCCACGTCTCCGCCTAGTTGCTGAGCGAGGGGGATGTCACCGCTTCCGGGGAGGCGCGGAGCCAGGTAGGGAGCCTGCCAGCCCCACCAGCCCCCCACCCATCCGAGCACCAGTGGGGGTCCCAGTCCACCCCCCCCCACACACACAGCACCCGTGGTGCCCTCAGGCTGCCCCCTCCCACCAGATTTAGTCAGGGGTGTATAGTAGAAGTCATGGACAGGTCACGGGACGTGAATTTTTGTTTACTGCCCGTGACCTGTCCGTGACTTTTACTAAAAATACCCGTGACTAAAACAAAGCCTTAGTTATAAGGGATCAAAGTGTAATTAGAATCATAGATCCAAAGCTGCAAAAAAGGCAATAGGAAGATCTGACTCTCACTTTGGATAAAGCAGTAAGACTGTGTCAGGCAGCTGATATTACTCTGAACAGAATAAAAAAAATGGAAGGAAAACAGGCCACTGCCACTCTGAATATAGTAACAAGAGAGAGAAAAAACTGCCAAGCAGTCACTCAGTACAGAGCAAAAAAACAGAAGCATGAAAAAAATAAAGCACAAGAATTTGCAAGGGGCAGCTTCAAGGACTGCACAAGATGTGGACACAAATACAGGCCTCAACGATTCCCAGCTTTTGGTAAGCGCTGTAATATTTGTAAGAAATATAATCATTTTACCTACGTCTGCAGTCAGGATCAACAACTGCAGAAGAGGAAGCAAAGCGTGCATGCTGATGCCATAATCCAGGATGAGAGCAAAAACAGCAGCACAGAAGAGTTCTATCTAGAAACTGTACCTGAAGAGGAAGGAACAGATGAATGGATAATTTCTTTAGAGACTAATGGGACTCTAAAGGGCTGGTCCACACTAAGCCCCCAGTTCGAACTAAGATACGCAACTTCAGCTACATGAATAACGTAGCTGAAGTCGAAGTATCTTAGTTCGAACTTAAAGGTACTTACTGCGGGTCCACACGCGGCAGGCAGGCTCCCCCATCGACTCCGCCTACTCCTCTCGCGGAGCAGGATTACCGGCGTCGACGGCGAGCACTTCCGGGATCGATTTATCGCGTCTAGACAAGACGCGATAAATCGATCCCAGAAGATCGATAGCTTGCCGCCGAACCAGCGAGTAAGTATAGACATACCCTCAGAAAGGAAGCGGAATGAATTTGCTGAGGCTACAGCTAATGATGAGTCTTTACAGAGGTAATTAAAGCTATTTCCACAGGGTGGCCAGGACATTCCATACCAAGTCCATATTTCCAGTTCAAAGCAGAACTGTCTGTTACTCTTAGCATATTGTTTACAGGAAACAGAATAGTAGTGCCCAAGATATAAAAAGCTGACAAGCTCACAAGAATACATGAAGGACAGATGGGCATGGAGAAATGTAAACACAGAGCCAGAGAGATACTTTATCGGCTATAATGAGATATTCATTTGTAAATGAATAAAAAAAATAAAAATGTATTAAACATGTCAAAAATACCAACCTAAACAGAGAAAAGAACCTATGTTGATAAACAATGAACAGTTCAGGGCATGGTCTAAAGTTAGTGTGGATTTATTTACATATGTAGCTAAAGACTATGATTTGATTTTGGATTATTATTCTGATTAACTAGAGATTGTTATATTAGAAACTAGTACATTAGAATATGTTTTAATGCACATAAAATCCATATTGTCCAGGCATGGAATCCCTGATAATGGTCAGCACTTTGATGGACGTGAATTTAAAACATTTGCTTGAGGGTATGGGTTTAAGTACATAACTTCAAATCCCAGGTATTCTCAATCCAACAGTTTTGTAGAGAACAGTGTGAAAGTTGTTAAATGACTTTTGAAAAAGGCCGCTTGGCAGGAAGTTGAGAACAAGACTCCCTTCTGGCATACACATGACAAAGGCAAACTAATCTATGAAAGACTGAAATGCTATGAAAAGTCATTGTGGGGACATGGGAGGAGGTTAAAAAACTATTTCCTCTTTTCCTCCTTAAGAATATCCCACCACTTGAAAGAGTTCTTAATGTGATGCAAATGTCTGTATAACAACATAAGTAATGGGCCCATTAAACAAAAGTAGGTTAAAATGAAGTGACAGTTCCAATATTGATAGGTTGTGGTATTAGATAGGTTTAAAAAAGAAAAATCTCTTTCCATGAGTCAGAGTTGGAAGTGGAACCAGACTCATGTGTCTCAGCTTATTATTTAACTGACTTTGCTGCTGATGATGATGTATGTGTTGCATCAGCACTTTCCTATGTAATGTCTGTTCAAGTGAATGGAACATAATGAAATGTTCAAATGACACTACCCCATTGTATTACAATATTTTTAAGAAAGGTCAAGTTTTAAACCTAAAGTGTACTGTGTTCCTTTTTAAAAAAGGAAAAAATTAATTTGAAAACACTATAATGAAGGGACCAATTGTGGCTCCATGGCTAAGGTTATCTTCTGTAAGGGGTTTAAAGTGGGACATACATTTTCAGTGAGAAATTTCAGTGTTCATTTTTAAGTCCTCTGAATTTTCTATGTAGATTTTGTTTGATTTATTTTCATAATTTTTTTAAAATAAAGTGTTTGAAACTGATCTGTTGTTGAAATTCATCCATGGCAGTCTGACTTGTTCTTTGTTTTTGTTAACTGATATATTTTCAAAAGAAATTGTCTATCTAAACAAAAATTGGCAGACAGATAAAACTTTGATAGATTTGGTGCAACAAGCAGACTTTTTTAAAGGTAATTTTAAAGATTAAGGGTCATTTTTTGCCATTATGCATCATTCTGGATGCATGTGAGGCATAAAATCTTCGCATTATATACCACCTTCCAACACATCAAACATCTTCAAATAATCACATTGAGAGGAGGTAGTTTGTTAAAGGGTGTGTCAGACACTGGCATTCATGGGGCAGAAGTAAGGTTGTGGTCCATTTTCTGTGGTGTAAAGGAGTTAGGGCAGTGGCAAGGTGTGATAAGACATTTGCCTGTGGGTGAAGGAGCAAAGCTGTCCCATTAGGTGGCTTAACTTTTCATTTCCCTAACTCCCAGTGCTATGCCTTACCAACAACTTCATCCTTTTTCCCTTTTGTAGAGTCAGGGTTTAAAAACAGAAAACTAAAAATAAACAGATTTCAAAAACTTACCATACTTGCATCAACGACCTGCCCTTTGCCAGATTTTGTACGTTCATAGAGGGCCATAATTATACCCATTGCACACATGACACCTCCACCCGCAAAATCAGCCAGAAGATTTACTGGTGCATAAGGATTTTCATCTTTTCTACCAAGTTTCGACAGCACACCTGAAAAACAGTGCAAAAAACACAGACATTTAATCATAAAGTGTATGAACATTAATGTTAGAAAAATGAAAACTAAAGTTTCTTCAATTTATAAACCTTAACCAAGGTAACTATGGAATCCCCTACACGCCAAGAGAATCCTCAGCTAGCGGTTTAAGACAACATTATGGCCCCTTTACACTGCAGCAGTGACAAAAAAAGGGCTGAAGCAGAGCCAAGGATCTGGCCATTGTTTTTATTTGGGGGGGGCTTCTAGATTGCTAGCCCTCTTTGCTCCGCTAAACAGCCCCCTTACCTTCATTTTGCTCTCTAGTTTCCCCCATAACCACTCTCTTCCCTCTCCTCCTGCCAATGGGGCAATGTGGAGATTATCAGCCCTGCAGCAGAGCCACATTCCTCCTAAGCAGCATACAAATTCAATGCATCCTAAAACACTGCCTGGCATTGATGTATTGTTTAGGTAACTCACACACCAATGTGTGTTTTCTAAAGTGCACACAAGCGGACACATGGTGTTAAGAACTCCACCGAGCTTAGGATGCACGCAGAAAGCTTTTCAATAACTAAAATCTGCCATTCAACAGTCCAGCTGGTGTCATAAGCACCAGTAGGTGAACATATTAAATCTAATTTGGACTTTCCAGGACAAGTCATTTTTGGGCTACAGCAAACCAAAAACCATAAGGAAAATTTCCAAGACATGAGATCACCTCATTTTCTGAGCAGTCACACCTCCCAAATGCCTTGTCTAATTTGCCTTAAACTTGGCAGAAATAATCTATCTGGCATGCCTGTGACATTTCAGGCAGATTGGTTTTATTTTAGAAAATAGACAGTTTGCCAAAAACTAGGATTATCATTTACTTTGGGATGTTCTGGCAAAAACAGTTTGAGAAATACTAAGGATCACATAAGAAGCGTACTGCTAGATCTGTAAACATTCCATATACTTGTCTGATATTTTTGCCAACAAACTCTGATAAAACTTGATTTGTGGAAAAAAGAGTTAATTGGTGCAAAAACATAGTTTACATCTTCTAATTCAAAGGACCCCCCCCCAAAAGTGTGTAAAAATACAGGTGTTGCTAGCTGAGGTTTTCTTCTTGCAATAGGCTGTCCAAGTTACAGTAATAGCTGCCAAGAACCACACAAAATGGTACTGATTAAACTGGATTTAGGAAGAAGAAAATTATTTTAGCAGGCAGTGTGGACTTTGTTCCATGGTCCAGCAATCCTGAAGTCAATAACATCACTTTGTTAGCTACTTTCCTCTGGGCTGGCATTCAACATAAGGATATGTACAGCACTCAGGCAAGACAGAGCTCACAAAGGGCCTGAATCCTGCAGTTTTCACTTACTTCAATAATCCAGTCTCACACAAGTAAACCTATTGATTTGTAGTTTCATGGGACTAACCATGCAACGATTGCCCAGGTGAGTAAAGGTTGGGGGATCAGGCCCAAAATGAAAAGATAAAACTAAAGACTATCATGAAAATTATATTTACCTTTAAAAAAAAGAAAAAAAACTTTATCTAGGTTTTTCTTCTTTTATACTCTTTTACCAGAAGAAGACAACACTCGGGTAATTTAAACCATGTACACAAAGTACCTGCTAATACAATTCTTAATTAAAGCAAAAATAAAGTTAATCTAATAGGAATTTTTACAGCTTACCTGACAAAGCCAAATAATTGATGTCATGACCTGCAGACTTTGCATATCTTCCTGACTGGCCAAATCCAGTAAGTCTAGCATAGATAAGTTTTGGATTTTCCTGTAGAAGGACCTTTGGACCAAGACCAAGTTTTTCCATGACACCTTAACAGTAAAATAAAATGTTTAATCCCAATCCAAACTTTTGCTTTTAATCTAGATTCAAAACAAACTTGATTTGAAATAAAAAAAACTGTAAAATGTATTAGTCATTATGAACTTGAATTACAGCTAACATGCTGATTAAGTTAAAAAAAGGCCTCAAGTACAATAGCCATATTAAAACATGAACTGCTAATATTTTACAAATTAATAATGTACTAAATTTATTTTATATGTTGAATGCACCAAATGTAAATTTAGTGTAAAAGTAGTTTAAATGCACTTTGTTTCTCCCCAATTTCAGACCCCTCATGACCATTCTGACCAACTTCCTCGGCTGTGGACCACTGAACATACTGTGGCATTTAATTTCAGAAAGGGGAACTATGCAAAAATGAGGAGGTTAATTAAACAGAAATTAAAAGGTACAGTGACTAGAGTGAAATCCCTGCAAGCTGCATGGACACTTTTCAAAGACACCATAATAGAGGCACAACTTAAATGTAGACCCCAAATTAAAAAACACAGTACAAGAACTAAAAAAGAGCCACCGTGGCTTAACAACCATGTAAAAGAAGCAGTGAGAGATAAAAAGGTATATTTTAAAAAATGGAAGTCAAATCCTAGTGAGGTAAATAGAAAGGAGCATAAACACTGCCAAATTAAGTGTAAAAATGTAAGAAGAAAAGCCAAAAAGGAGTTTGAAGAACAGCTAGCCAAAAACTCAAAAAGTAATAACAAAATGTTTTTTAAGTACATCAGAAGCAGGAAGCCCGCTAAACAACCAGTGGGGCCCCTGGACGATCGAGATACAAAAGGAGCACTTAAAGATGATAAAGTCATTGCAGAGAAACTAAATGAATTCTTTGCTTCAGTCTTCATGGCTGAGGATGTTAGGGAGACTCCCAAACCTGAGCCGTCCTTTGTAGGTGACAAATCTGAGGAACTGTCACAGATTGAAGTGTCACTAGAGGAGGTTTTGGAATTAATTGATAAACTTAACAGTAACAAGTCACCGGGACCATATGGCATTCACCCAAGAGTTCTGAAAGAACTCAAATGTGAAATTGCGGAACTATTAGTTATGGTTTGTAACCTGTCCTTTAAATCAGCTTCTGAACCTATCTGACTGGAAGATACCTAATGTAACGCCAATATTTAAAAAGGGCTCTAGAGGTGATCCTGGCAATTACAGATCGGTAAGTCTAACATCAATACCGGGCAAATTAGTTGAAACAATAGTAAAGAATAAAATTGTCAGACACACAGAAGAACATAACTTGTTGGGCAAAAGTCAACTTGGTTTCTGTAAAGGGAAATCATGTCTTACTAATCTATTAGAGTTCTTTGAAGGGGTCAACAAACATGTGGACAAGGGATATCCAGTGGACATAGTGTACTTACCGTATATACCCGTTCATAAGCCGAATTTTTTTAGTAAAAAAGGGAAGCACCAGAGAAGGGGGTCAGCTTATAAATGGGTATAGAGAGGGAGAGGTGGGATGCAGCCCCTTCCCCCAACAGAGGGAGCAAGGAGAGGCAGCACAGCCAGCAGAGCCAGAAGGGAAGAGACGGGGCCAGAGTCTCTCAGCTTCTCCCCCCAGCCTCCGAAGCAGCTGCAACTCCAGGGCTGGCAGGCTGCAGCTGTGCTGCTCGGTCCCGCCTCCCAGAGCAGGCTGCAGCCGCACTGCCCAGCCTGCCGGAGCAGCTCCAGCCAGGTCAGAGACATCCTCCCCTGGCCCTCCCCAGATAAGGTGGGAAGGGATGGCATGGGGTGATGTGGGGGGTGGTCACTGGGGTTACTCCCCTGACCCCTAGTTTCTTCCCCCCCAAAATTTCCCCACCAGTTGCTGCCCAGCCCATCAGGGTAAGCCGCTGGCGTGCCGGGACACTTTGTTTACTTAGGTTTACCTCCATGCCTGCGGACGCGAGGTAAACAAACCATTTCGGCCTGCCAGCAACTTATCCCAATGGCTCGGGAGTCAAAATTGCTGACCCCTGAATTACAGGGTCAGCTTATGAACGGGTCATAAAAATTTTCCATTTTTACTTATCCATCTTGGGGGGGCCGGTTTATAAACAAACCAGCTTATGATCGAGTATATACGGTAGATTTCCAGACAGCCTTTGACAAGGTCCCTCACCAAAGGCTCTTACATAAATTAAGTGGTCATGGGATAAGAGGGAAGATCCTTTCATGGATTGAGAACTGGTTAAAGGCCAGAAAACAAAGGGTAGGAATAAATGGTAAATTCTCAGAATGGAGAGGGGTAACTAGTCGTGTTCCCCAAGGGTCAGTCCTAGGACCAATTCATAGCTGAATCAAAGAGACAGCTCCCAGGAGGTCATGCACCATAGTAAAAAGAAAGAGGCAAACTTTTTGCTAATACACTCCCCAATCTTTACAAGGCTGAACCTCTGGACAACTTTCTCAGGACTACTTCTGTCTCTTATCAGAATATAGCTCAATGACATTTTCCTTGCTTACCTGCCCAATATAATTCCCCTCTTTCCTTCAGTTTTGGCATAAGACACTCCATTTTATCCTTACACTAGCCTAGCCAGCTACTACTATTACTTTTTATCTATCATAAAAACAAGAGCAGATGAGGGCAATTATACACTCAGCAAATGATTTGCAGAAACTGTACAAAAAAAAGTTTCTTCTGTAGGTTCAAGCTCAAGAAACTTTTGCAAAATTAAATAAATGTAGGTTTGGTCAGTTTTAATGTACAGGGATGAAAAACTCTGTAAATTCACATTTTGAAAATTTCCCCTCCATTTAGCGCCCGTCCACCCCCCAAAAAAAGTGTCTTGTTTTTGTTTGTTTGTTCCAGACAAAATGTTCAAGCTGTGTATAATTTGTAAAATGGACTTTTATCTGTGTTTAGCAAATTACAGCTAAACTTTGGTCAGAACTATGTCTGATAAACAGTGCAGACACTGCAGAGCAACACGATCTTATATGGAAGGGAAAGGAGAAATTCTGGATTCTTAAAATTGCTTTCATACCTTCTTCCACATCACATTTTATGAATGGAAATTCCCCAAATTACCGGTAATCTATAAAATCACAACCCTATCATCCTTCAACTCCTTGAAGACCCAATTCTAGCATGACACTGACTGGAAAGTGTCAACTGGTAATGGCTAGGCAGAGAAGCAGAGAGATTTGTTGGTATGTATGTATGTATTTAATAATACACACCGCTACCTCGATATAACGCAACCCGATATAACACAAATTCGGATATAACGCAGTAAAACAGTGCTCCGGGGGGGCGGGGCTGCACACTCCGGTGGATCAAAGCAAGTTCAATATAACGCAGTTTCACCTATAATGAAGTAAGATTTTTTGGCTCCCGAGGACAGCGTTATATCGAGGTAGAGGTGTATATAATTATACAGATCTGGATCTTCAAATTTCCACCTGACCTGAAAGATGAACTCCACTGAATAACAGAAAATTCCTAAACAAAAAGAAATCCACCCCCTTCCTGCAAAAATGAAATGTTGAGGTTCCATGACTGTATATTATAAATACAAATTGGATCCACCCACATGAAACCATACTGATGAAGCTTTGCATCTGCATAAATGCAGTTGAAGGATCAAAGTCTCAGAATCTTAATCTGGAAATAACCAATCTTAGCTCTGTCAGTGTTAACTCAGGATTGTAAAGCACTTTCAACATGGAGACCTATTATGAAGTTAAAAACATACCCATTTATAGACCCCTTTACTACCACCGAAGTTATAATACAGCCTCACAAAACTGTTGTGAAAATTTACTAGACGAGGCACAAAATTTATTTGCTTGCTCTTACCACGACAGACAGATTTTCAAAAGCCTAACTCCGACAGATATCACAAAGAAACTAACTGAAAGCCAATGGGATTTGGATGCCTAACTGCTCTTTGTGCCATTTAAAATCTCCCCATATATCACTTGGGCCCAGATCCTACAACTGGCTCTATGCCTGAAGATCCAATTCAGCGTTGAGCCAATTTCAGGACCAGGTCCATGAGATGCATTATCTAGCTATAGAATTACAAGGAACCGCAGATGGAATTTTACCCTTAATGAGACACTAGTCTCAACTCATACTTGCACCCATATTTAAATTTTGTAACAAAGTTTTTACAAAACCAAAGGGCAATAGAAATTTCCATTATATTAATTGCAAGATTCCAATTGAATTTGTCACTTTTAACCAAACAATCCCATGGAAACCCAAACATTTCAACATTGAAAATGTGACACTACAAATTAAAATGAAATTGGATTTATTGATTTCCACTGTACAGTCTATGAGAAAAAAAACACACAACACATCAAAACCCAGGAATACATAGAGAAAAAGCACACCAGATTTATGAAGTTCCCAGTTTTAATGCTCACAGGTGTTATTAGTAATGCAGATAAATGTGCTTATTTACAATGATTGATGTTTAAAATGATATAGTGACCCTTTAGTCCTAAATCTGGTATGGCCAGAACACAGAACATAAGAATGGCCGTACTGGGTCAGACCAAAGGTCCATCTAGCCCAGTATCCTGTCTACCGACAGTGGCCAATGCCAGGTGCCCCAGAGGGAGTGAACCCAACAGGCAATGATCAAGTGATCTCTCTCCTGCCATCCATCTCCATCCTCTGACAAACAGAGGCTAGGGACATCATTCCTTACCCATCCTGGCTAATAGCCATTAACAGACTTAACCTCCATGAATTTATCCAGTTCTCTTTTAAATGCTGTTATAGTCCTAGCCTTCACAACCTCCTCAGGCAAGGAGTTCCACCAGTTGACTGTGCATTGTGTGAAGAAGAACTTCCTTTTATTTGTTTTAAACCTGCTGCCCATTAATTTCATTTGGTGGGCCCTAGATCTTATATTATGGGAACAAGTAAATAACGTTTCCTTATTCACCTTCTCCACACCGCTCTTATATACCTCTATCATATCCCCCCTTAGTCTCCTCTTTTCCAAGCTGAAAAGTCCTATCCTCTTTAATCTCTCCTCATATGGGACTCGTTCCAAACCCCTAATCATTTTAGTTGCCCTTTTCTGAACTTTTTCTAATGCCAGTATATCTTTTTTGAGATGAGGAGACCACATCTGCACGCTGTATTCAAGATGTGGGCGTACCATGGATTTATATAAGGTCAGTAAGATATTCTCTATCCCTTTTATAATGATTCCTAACATCCTGTTTGCTTTTTTGACTGCTGCTGCACACTGCGTGGACGTCTTCAGAGAACTATCCACGATGACTCCAAGATCTCTTTCCTGATTAGTTGTAGCTAAATTAGCCCCCATCATGTTGTCTGTATAGTTGGGGTTATTTTTTGCAACGTGCATTACTTTACATTTATCCACATTAAATTTCATTTGCCATTTTGTTGCCCAATCACTTAGTTTTGTGAGATCTTTTTGAAGTTCTTCACAGTCTGCTTTGGTCTTAACTATCTTCAGCAGTTTAGTATCATCTGTAAACTTTGCCACCTCACTTTTTACCCCTTTCTCCAGATCATTTATGAATAGGTTGAATAGGATAGGTCCTAGGACTGACCCTTGGGGGACACCACTTGTTACCCTTCTCCATTCTGAGAATTTACCATTTATTTCTACCCTTTGTTCCCTGCCTTTTAACCAGTTCTCAATCCATGAAAGGACCTTCCCTCTTATCCCAACACAACACATGAATACTTCAGTGAATCCTTAATCTTTAATACAGAATTGCAGCCCTAAGGGAACAATAGGCGTCAGCATGTGATATGCAACTTGAAGCTGAGACTCCTGCTAAAACTTGCCATATTTGTGGATCAAGGGCTTAGGAAAGAACAGAGCATGCTGGACCTGTTGTCTCCACAGAAACAGCACCTCCATATTAAAAACTAATGCCCCAGACATACAAAGCCTTACACGCTTGATAAACTGTACACACTGGGAGTACAAGTGTTTACGCCACTGAAAAGTGTAAGCATGTCTTTGCAGGGTCAAGGCCGAAGCACGCCACAATTTGCCCATTATACATCCATTGGGGTCATCCACGGGCTCCTGGACAATTGTCAAAGTTGTTTGAGGCTTAATGGGCCATTGTTTGGATAGGATACTTTAACCTTAAACTCTCTTCTGTGGGTTGCTGTGTCCCATAAATCTGGGTTTGCCCCATGGCATTTGCACCAACCACACTATTTTGCATCCAGCCAGGTGAGAGCTGTCATTCCCTGAGAGCAGATCTGATCTCCCAAGTGGGGCAACGCTATCTGACTACTGCCCTCTATTCACCTGTCTTTCCTCCTCTATAGCAGCACCATCCCCAACTTTACCCCTGGCACCAAGCCCCCATTCTGCCTCTTCTCCACTGCAGAGCACCCCCAGAATCTCTTCCCTGGCACAGCACCCCCATCTCTGATCCACCAGACACACCCAAGCCCTGCACCCTAGCACTCCCCCCTCAGCCCTGCCCCCCCCCCCCGCCGCACCCATACCCCCCCCCCCCAACCCTGCCCCCAGGGACCCTCCCACCAGTGGCACCCATACCCCTCCCCCCAAACCCTGCACCCA